CAACTCTGCTGTTGTCCTCCTCGGTCCAATTTTCATCCTAAAAATAAAAAAAAAAAAAAAAATCATTTAAATCTAGGTTCAAAAGGTTAACTCATTCTAATAATGCCTTTAACCATTTGCAGACTGTTGGGGTAACCACACGTGCAGTGGAAATGTGTGCTTCCACAACTACAAAAATCTTTTCTGCTGCTGTCTGAAAGTGTTGTAAAATGGTTTTTGTCACTTTATGCATTTTTTTAATGATATTTACAGTTCAGTTAGTTTTAGATCTTAATTTTACTACAGTCTTGAAAGCAATGCTACAGAAGCTATCGCATACAGCATTTTTTTCACAGGTACCCAAGTAAAAGCACAAAACCAGCTGATGGGCAGCAGTGTCTGGGCAAACTCCCTCCAAGCTCTCTCTGGGCAGGTTACTGGGGACTCGACTGAATGCACGCGGCAGCTCACTCCGGCTCATTGGTAAAGAGTTAAAAACAGTAGAAGAAAATGCAGCCCACATAATTCCATAAAGTACCAAGACCTCCTTAAACATTTTATCACAGGCCTTTATTAATAGCATGTCAGAAAAGGCTGACATCAAAGAGTTACGTGAGGCTCTAATGCTAACCAATTGATTTTGGTTTTAATTTGACTTTCCAAAAAGTACATACATTATTCACCAAATGTACAATTTTACTGTCAAAGCTGTGAACACTGTACTTTCAAATTTATAACAAGGTAATTCAAGGACTACCAGTAAGAAGATCTAAAACCGTTCTTAGACCTATGTTACTCATTAGAAGCTTATACTTTTAATTACCCATGTGACCAAACAAAATATTATGAAGTGCAAACCATAGGTTTCAAACGCAGACTTAGATTCTACAGCTAGAGTCATCAAGTCACTAAAATAATAAGGGATAGGTTATGAGTTCAGCAGAGTCAGGCGATAAATTAAATTATTGAAGAGATATTAAAGGCAGGCAGAGGCAGTTGGTAACGTCCAGCTGACATTTCCACTGCGAATCTGCAAAAGCAGAAGGCTGGATGCATCAGGCTTCCACGGGCTGTAGATATGCCTTGTGCATCCTGGCTAGCAGCACGCTGCATGAAGCGAAGCTACTTGAAGATTGATGATCCTGTGTTTTGAAAGGCTTTAATATGCACCTCTTCGTCATCTATCTCTGTTAAGCACTAGGCAAGTAATACATTTCAAAGGTTAACCAGCATCTTGAACCTGCCTAGAACTGCATTGTGAATGTAAACAAGAACTCATATAGTAAAAGTTGCTTATAAGTCCAATATAAAGGATAATCTATATAATTGATAAATAAGACATAAGCTAGTGTTTACATTTCTATATTTACTGATTTCAGTTGAAGTTCTGTACGTGTCATGGAATAAAGTTTAAAAATTAATAAATATCCAAATCTCCATGGACAATTCTAAAGTTACATGCAAAAAGGTATACATAGGAAAATCAGAACATGTTACTTTGTTAATACGACCTTTTTTGGCAATTTTCCATGTATGGTCTTTTCAAGCAAACGTAGGGTAAGTACAAACACATGTAAGAGAGGCTGAAATAACACCCTACCTATTAGCAGCTATGCCTCCGCTAACAAATCAATGCCTGGCTTTACGCTGTGCCATTTCACCAGACATCTATATACGTACACTGTAAGCATCATCCATCTGGTACCACTCAGGACCTACACTTTACCATCTCTCAGCCCCACAGGTTTTTCCCTTGACTAGTTTAAAGTAAGTCTGTAAACAAAACTCCCCTTGCCCGACTCGGTCTTTGCAGCAGTCCTTTGGCCTTGCTCTTGAGAGACTCGTTTCCAGTGCCCTCCTGGGATGCAGCCTGCCGTGCAAGACTCCATCTAAATCCTTGTGGAAATCCTTCTTCCCACCACTTCCCAGACCTGACAGTATCTTCGCTCTTGTTCCCAGGGCCTCCTAATGTTGGCTCACACTTCAGCCTCTCCACTTGTTGCACTTCCCATTTTCTTTCTTTCCATCCCAGCTGGTTTATTCTAGCAGAAACCCAGAGGTTTACTCTGCCAAGGGACGGAGCATCCCCACGCCTGACCTCAAGCGCAGCCAGGACGAAGGCAGCAGCCAACCTGCCTGCCTCCTGTCTTTGCCATATCTTTTAATATTAGGACATAACACAGCAGAAACTGCAGACCAAAAGCTATGTAAAACAGATGCTATCTGGCACCATCACATCTACTTTTTGTGCCTTTTGTATGAAGCATTATAAACACAGCAAGTTTTGGAACCAGACTCACTGTCAGTTATCCAAGCAATTAAGGAGCAGCAGCTCCCACACGCCTCTGTCTGGCTTTTCCCGGACAGCAGACAGATCTGTATCAAAAACATGCGTGCGCCTGTAAATAGGTGCTTAGAGGAGGAATCGCAACCCTAACGAAAGCACTGCTGCCATAATCAACAGATGTGTGATGTATCCTTCTAAAAATCTTTAATATTACAGTAATCAGGCTCTCTTTTCTTCTCAAAATAACACAGATTTTGATTTACATTGAAGTGAACGGGGAGAAAAATTGGACACCTGCAGAGGGATTTGACTTAAAATTCTGATCTACTAAGAAAAGTAACTAGCTGTGAAAATCTCTGCATCAAGCAATTATTTCTTTATTTGGAAAGTAGTTTTCTTCTGAAAGGCAAATTCCACCTGGATGTGCTATCATGAGGTAAACCAAGGAAAAGGACATTTACAAGACCAAGAAAGTTTCTGAGAAGCCAGACAGATCTTAGTGCAGACATGTCTCAGAAATAACCGATTCGAGCAAACTCCCAAACTTGTAAGGTTTCTTCTCTCTCTATAAAATCACCGATTCCTGCCATATCGTAAGATACAGCTTTTAATGTACAGCCACTACAGACAGAACGTATTATTTTTCCCGCACTGAGGTAATTAAAAGATCATTTCATCTTTACAGCACAGAGGAAAATTGGAAGCACCTCTTCCAGGGCCCTTCTATGTAACGCGATGCGTTCGGTGCACCACTCCCCCAGTCCCCTTTGCTGAGAGGACTCAGCCGGGGCTGCTCACCCGGGGCTGACGGTGCCAGGGGTGTAACTGCCCACGAAGCACATGTGCCATCTCTCACGGATTTAGGCTGCTTATACGGAGATGAAACAACACAATGTCATCAAAAAGAAAGTAAAGTTCTTAAAATTTGTCTTCGTTTAAGAGAATTCAGGATTTTAAAGAGTTATTCTTACTTTTAAACGGATCTGTACAAAATTCCTGTGTCTTCTAAGAGTGAAGTTTAAGCACACGTACACAGTAGCAGATTCTTGCAAATATGAAAAAAATCGTTTATGCAGGTGCCAAAGCAAGTCAAACCATTGTTCTGAAAAAAAAAACAACGAAAAAACAAAACCAACAACTCTCTTCTTCACTATTGTACTAAGTTCTGTAATAAAATTAACAACTCAAAAACTCTTCACTGCTCAAAATGGACTATTAATGCTAGCAGTTCTGCATACAGAAAAGTCCATTTCACAGTTCACCTGCAGACCATTAATAAAATACATCTGAAAAGCTGCCAGTTTGGTTTGTATTTTTGAAAAGAAATTCCCTACCACCTCTTAGGATTACAAAATCCTCAGAGTTAAGAAATGTTAGCATTATGGTTGCCAACATTTTTGGGTACGAACTCAAAAAGACCCTTTCATTACATTCTCTCAGTTTATTTCTGAATGAAGACTGCCTTGTTCCATTTCCAATGCTCAAAACAAGCTATGCCTTTCCTATCTTACTGGACATTTTATGTTTCATTACCAAAATAACATCTCCTACCTCTGATTAATCCACAATTACTAGCAGTCCCTACTTCATCTTCAAAGAAGCGCTTTCCCACCCATCCGCGCTGTTCGATACACTTTTAATGAACTCTCCAAAAGCATAAGCAGAACTTATTCACATTCCCTCGTCTTCTTTAGACGATTACCTGCACAGAACTCAATAGCAGCCATGGAGTCTCAATAGTTACTGCCGCCACTTTAATCACATTTCATTTCTGCAGTCTTCATTTCTAGGTGCCCAGCCCTGATTACAATCTACTTCAGCCTGACACAATGGGAAATGGGCTCTGAAGGTACGTAAGAGTTCTGTATAAATCTGTCTTCTCTGAAGACTTAATCCTATCACTTAAATTCGATAGCAACATCTCCATTCTACCCATAATTGAAAGAAATGGGAGTAAAGGGGTTTGGGTTTGGTTTGGGTTTTTTTTCCTTCAGAGGAATATAATAATTATTTCACATTCATATTGTCCAGAAAGTGACTGGGTATTTTAGTGATAATGGTTGTACGAAAGAGAGTAACTCTGCTTTCAAATGACTTCAACACTCAACAGCAAGCTTGGCAACACTGACCAGCCCAAAAGAAAAATACTGACTGATCACTTACGTAAAAAGTAACTACCTTGTGCACTGAACAAATCAAAACTAACATTAAAGAAAGGGAAGGTGTCAGTACAGATTACCATAATACATGCACGCATGGAGCTGTGCTAAGGCTACACCACCGACCTCCCTTCTGCATGTTTTCCTCGTTCAATTCTGCAACCCGCAGCGCTATAAGTACTCCTCTCACATCTCTACCTGCACCTCCAACACCAGCTACAGGCTCCCTCTCCCAAGCCTGCATCTTCCTGCCCTGACTTTGACGTTAACGCACACTCAGTTTAGAGAGCAGAGTCCTCCACCTTGTCTGAGCACCAGGAATGGGATTATGGAACACCTAGACAGGGCGCCCGTGCTCAGCATCTGCATCCAGTCCCACCCCACTGCTGCAGGCGCAATCCGGCGGCGCAGCCACACTGTGGTGCCTTCCCCAGGAGAGCACGCTCAGCCACTCCAGGATTTAACCTACTCACTGAAAAGAGAAAGAAGTCTGGGAAATTTAGCCATAAATCGTAGTAC